GAAATTTTGATGACAATTTTTTGAAGTTTGATTAATTTTTTTGCAATCTGTGCAAGCTTTGCAACTTTTGTTATTGTGGTTTCTGAAATAGATTGAAATATATTTTTTTAATGAAAATTATTAAAAATAAATAAATAAACATAATTTGCAAGCAACAACGTTTTGAATTTCGTTGCTAATTAGTTGCACGCATCTGTAAATATATGTATATAACACACTCATCGCACATGTAACGGAGATTAGGAAATTCATCCATTTTTCCTAAAGTGTATTAGTCTATTCCCGAGCATTTTGATTGCGAGTGGTAAATCTTGCCACATACACCCGCACACCTTATTCCCGTCTCTCCACGGATTTGCAATTTGCATTTTTTGCAATCCATGGATTGCGTATTTGTTACTTTAAACTTTTTGCCACTTATGTATTAAATGTTATTGTCCCCAAAGTTGAAGGCCCCGGGGGCCATGGTTAATTAATCGCACTGTCACTGAATGAGTTACACATGCACTTTTGACCAACGAGAAAAACAAGTAAGTATGTTTTATTTGTTGTTCTGATAACTAACGGGCTTAAGAACGCACAGGCAATAGAACGATGAAAACACTACCGTACGCAAAGAGAGTTAGTCGGAGACTAGAATAAAATTTAGTATGTAGTGCTAACTTGGCACCATGCACCATTGACGACAGAACTGAGATATTGAAAAGGTTACAACGGATTTATTGTAGCTTTTTGTTGTAAATTTGTTGTGGAAAGAAAAAATGTGTAGCTTTCGTTTTTTAAGAAAAAATGGTATGTAGTGCTAACTTGACACCATACTAGGGCTGGCAGACGTCCCGGTTTTCCCGGACATGTCCCGGTTTTAGACTATTTGTCCCGGTGTCCCGGTCCAACCTTAAAATGTCCCGGGTCTCGTTTAAGTGTCCCGGTTTTCGATTTGATTGCACAAATTTGAATAAAAATGACTACACTGAGAGAAAAAACGCGTTGTAATATTTAGAAAAATGTTATGAATTTACTGGGGAAAATAACGCATAGTAAACATGAATGTTTTTTATTTGATTATCGTTTTAAAATTTTCGTATTCAAAAACAATACTTTCATACCACGCACACGTGGTGTTGAATCAAACTACATAAATATTTGAATTCACATTTACATGTCTGGCTGTAGCACATGTCTGGAGTGCACGAAGATGCTTACCAGAAATTGCTAATTTCCAGAGCGTCAGGGTTCAAATCCCATTACAGGCAGCATGGAATTTAAATATTTTTTTTATACCCGAGCGCACTTGTGCACAAGGGTATTATAACTTTGTTTACATAACGGTTGTTTGTAACAGGCAAAACGAATCGAGATAGATATAGACAAATGTATACATAAATTATCAGGATGAAAAGAGAAATCGATTAAGCGGTGACTGTCTGTCCGTCCGTCCGTCCGTCTGTCCGTCCGTCTGTGCACACGATAACTCGTGTAAAAATTGAGATATCTTAACGAAACTTGGTACGCGTTCTTCTTTCGGGCGTAGGACGGATGGTATTGAAAATGGGCAAAATCGGACAATAACCACGCCTACCTCCCATATAACGGTAATTTTCAGAAATACGAAAACTGCGATATTTTACTAACTATTGAAAATAATTCACTCAAAATGGATACTTATAATAATTTGTAGACGAGAAATAAGAATATTATAAATTTTTGAAAAATGGGCGTAACCACGCCCACTTATGGTTACATGTGTATATCTTGGCAACCGCTGTACCGATTCCTTCCCAACTTGGCACAGTTGTTGCCCTTGGTACAGCATATCAAACGGCCGAAAATTTTTAAAATCGGACAATTACCACGCCCACATTCCATATAAGGGTAATTTAGAGAAATACGAATTCTTAGATAAATCAGTAAATATTGAAGCTAATTTATTCAAAATTGACACTTGCAACAATTCTTTACCAAGAAATACGTTTATGATAAAATTGTGGAAAATGGGCGTGGCACCGCCCACTTATGGTCACATATATGTATCTCGGTAACCGTTCTACCAATTTGCACCAAACTTGGTACGGTTATTGTGCATGCCACATTAAAGCAAAGCGTTGAAAATTATTGAAATCAACCTAAAATTACGGCCGCTTTTCATATAACAATAAATTTCAGAAATGCTTGAAATTTCAATATTTCGAAATTTAAGGACGCTAACTTACTCAAAATTGATACACCCCGGCTTACCATGTAGCGGTAGCTTGCGGAAAGGTGAAAAACATAATAATACTTGCGCCGGGTATTTAATGTTCGGCTCCGCCCGAACTTAGACTTTCTTACTTGTTTTTACTTAATTATGAAAAAGCATCCGTTAAGTGCAAAGCGCTTCATTTTAATATTGGCGTATTTGAATTGAATATTTCTATACTAAATACTAAAATTTTTATACTTAAATTTATTACGAGTTGGGTTGGTGCTCTTGGATATGCGATTTTTTTTTTTTAATTTAGCACGTTTTGCACGAGCAATAGTTGATGATTAATATAAGTATGTACCTAAACACGTTAAAATGACCTGCACAGAGTTTTGCAATTATATTAAGCAAAAGCCAGAAGTTTTGAGAACAGGTTCACAGCAACGAAACAAATGACTGATATTTTAATGTTACCTTGTATTTAATGTGCCGTACAAAATTATTGGCTCGGAGACTTTCATCTGATCACAAATTTTGAAAATGTAGCTTTTGAGCCAATTAGTAAGGTGCAAGTCTGAAGTTACCAGAAAATTTCGTTGATTTGTTGCAATAATTTATTTTTTGCTGAGTGTCTTCCACATACAAAAAAATGTCGAACATAGTTTGTATGGAAGAAACTGTCAGTAAAAACAATACCAAAAATCAACTAAATTTTTATGGGCTGCAAAACTTCATTTTAAATTTTTTTATAAAAGTCTGAATAGAAAGTTGCGAATTTGTATGCAAATTTATTGCATTTTCCCGAGTTTTGTACAAAGTTTAGAAATTTTATTTTTATGTTTTCTGATGTATTTAGTATAAACTGTATTTTTATAAGGAACAAAAAAGGTACATGCATTGTGAAAAATTCTCTGTGCTTTAGTTGTGATAAATTGTTTTGTTTTGCTAGTGTACGTTGTAATGATCTCATGATCGCATGTTTTTATGTTTTTGTTTTTTTTTGTCAAAATAAAATTTTACTACATCCTTTTGTACGTAATTTTTGTCGAAACGAAAGGGAAGGGAGCGAGAGTGAAAAATTTAGAAAATAATAAAGATCTAGATGAATTGATTTATATTCAATGTTACGGCTCACAAACAAAAAACAACACAAAGAAATTTATTGTTACAAATTGTTACAAAACATATGTACATTAGACTGATTAAAAAAAAAAAATGATTTTTCCAAAT